TTTTATGAGTTAACCTATTTTAATTAAGTTAATAATTTTTATTGTTGTTATTTGTGTAGGAGTGCGGTCCAATTAATCGACAATCACCTTTGCCCTGGATATTAACTCTATTGATGAGATCCCTTTCTCTCCCATCCAGAGTGTCTCCTCGTAGATATCCTGCACACAGTCAAAGTAATTATTTCAATAATTTGTATATCCGCCAGAATGGATTTAGGAAATAACTCCATTTTTTATTAGTGTTTCTTGATATAGTATATCGACTTAGATATGGACTTGTTCCGCGATCGAGCTCGAGATATCGAGATCATTTAACATCTCTAGCTGAGGCATATTGAGTACCAAATTCCTACATGTCGTTACCATTGAGTATCAGTCACTCAAACTTATGAAAAATGAGTACACATTGCCCAAATATATGCTTGAATGAGTCATAGAGATATGATCGAGTATTGGGGGAAAGTCATGAAAATGTTGTATGCATATATACATTCAAGTGACCGCGAATCATCACTGCTTTGCATGGAGATCGTCTTTGCTAGTTCTACTATATATGTGTACGACTACAAACATTATTGCCTAACACAGGGTTAGCTCGAGCTTAACCTGGAGCCGGTGGCTGTGATCATTCCTTTGATGCATGACGAGTGGGGGTGATTGTGCATGATAAACTAGCTACCATACGAGCCACGACGACGGTGAGACAATCAATATAGTAAGTATTTATAATTTTTTAATCCGAGCTATCACATTATTATTTAATCGCATGGGCAATTTCACATGTTTGAACTAACGTATATTGATTTTTTTAGTATAGCACATAAAGTTGATGGAATCAAATAGTTCTGTATATAAAATTGGAGGAATAAATTAGCGTGCGATTTGTATGAATTCATTTGTGATTTGTAAACATTGTGTAATTATAAAATAATTGTAAATATTATAAAAAATGTAAATATTATATTTAATTGTAAACTAATTGTAAATATTATAAAAATGGTAAATATTGTTTATTTAATAGCGATACCATTATACATCCATCTAATTGCAATTTAGGGAATCTGATTTGTGCAAAATTAATTAGTATGCCCCGTTGCTCTGCACCTGCCTCACACGGCCAAGAAAACTCTTCGGTAGATGGTGTTCGGGTGTCAACAAATTATTAAATGGGAGAATATGGTTGAGAGTTTCCTACTCGACTTCATTTGGTAGAGGAAATATAGTCTCATCATACACTGCTATCTAATAATCAGTCGTGTAATAAGGAAAGTATAATGTTATCATCGCGAGTTGGGGCTAGCAGGCTCGTACAACTTTATGATTCGACACGTCGATCGTGAAACCATTGCTGCAACTTATTACAAATATTCTTAATCATTGCGAGGATTGACAATTCTTGATCATTCTTGAATAATGCATTGAGAGATTTCGCGTTATTTGACACCATCATGTTATATCAATATCATGAAAAATGTGACCGCGCCTGATGAATATATTTTGTACACTTATTAAGTTAGTAGATTGGAGTATTTTTAGTGATTTAAATGATTTATAGCTTGATTATGTGTTAATTATATTTGTTAGGTTAAATTCAATGCAAATTGATGGAATTGGAATAAATAAGCTAAAAAGGGCAAAAATGAGAGAAATTCAAAATTTGAGAACCAAAATGTAAACATTCAATAGTTGATTCGGACCATAAAATGATTATTGAAGATCATATATTATCAATTGTATGAAATTTAGAGGTCAAAGGAGTTAAATAAAGTTGAAATACTTTCACAAATCAATTTCCAGCCGAAAAAGTTATGCTCCAAATTTTTAGCCTCAATTTGAGACCCATTTTTCTGATAGTAATTGTTCGAATTGGAAAAATTATACTTGTAAAACAATTTTAGCGCTTTATGTTATCTTTCTAATGCACTTTGAATCATCCCAATCGAATATCGAAAGAAAATATTATGACCAAAATATTGAAATGTGCTTAAAGACAGTTAGCTCATAACAGCGTGCGTGAGTGGGCCATTCATGGCGATCATTCGAGACACAAATTTCACGACCCAAGAGTATATGGTTCAATGGGTGCATGTGCAATGGGCCTACCAGTGCACGTGGAAGGACTTTTTTCGTAGACGAAAGACAGTTTTCTTTCACAATTCAAACTCTTTTGGGTTCCCAATTAGATACTATTTTAACCTATTTTATGGCTCTTATAAATAGAGAAACTTGGGAGAAACATTAAAAAAAACTCTCTCTTACATCTTCGTCACAATGGTATCATCAAATTCATCAAGAACAACGGTCAATTACTACTTTTGAGGGAGAAAATCTAGCCCTAACAATGAATTGAAGCTCAATTATATCAAGATTTTGAAGAATTCAACATTGGACTTGAAGATCAATATCTTTTAAATTATTTTATGATCCGTGTGATATTTTTCTACTATTTTTCT